AGAAACTAATCGTTTTTCTGTTCACATTTTCAAAACCTTAACTCCCAGTTCTAACGACGATTACCACGAGATAAGTGGCGAAACTTTCATATTTTGTGGCGTCTAATCACCACCTTGTTTTTTCTCAAGGCCATGTGCTGATATTTAGTGGAAGATCTGCTGTATGACGCACAGTATGCATTGTTGTTCGGTTCTTACCACTGTAGCATTTCGAACAATCTAGACTGTCCGAACATATAGAATTTCCGAACCGCTTTGATAAGTTGGCACCTAAAGCTTTGCTTTGTTATTTATCTTATCAAAGGCACAGATCAGCCAATATTAGAATTTTAGCAGTTTGGAATAAATGCTGAACTGCCTTATAACAAGATCTTATTTTAAAGCAGTGCCTAGATTCGGAAAGCATAAATAAGTGAAGTTGGAAGTAATGGTATTATGATTTAGGCGAACTATAGAAGCATCTACGTCATATAGCCCTGAGTAGTGAAAATCAAGAAAAAAGAGAGAATAGTACGTTGCGACATTTTTGAAAGTTGCGCATTTCAACTGAATTCTCCGAACGATTTTGAGCAAATTGGATGTTGGGGATTTCATTGAGCAGAAGCGATAACCCACTAGAGTCAAATGCCCCGTCGGCTCTGGTCGTTCTCTGCCGCTCCTCAAAAGTGCATACCCTCTACGCAACCAAGCGCCTTTTACGATGAATTGCGCAACATTCAATTTTTTGTTTTGAGTGAATGAAAAAAGAAAAACCGTGTTTTTTATATTCTTTGATTTGTAGGTCAAACTAAAGTTCTTAACTTTTTTCACGAGCTACAAAAATTTTTAACCGGTGTAGAGCTGACAACCACACCACTTTCAGTTTTCAATATCCAGCAACTACATTAAAGGATTCAAAAACCCGTAATTCTTTTTATGACTTTCTCAAAATTTATCCCGGTTAGACTATCCAACCTCAAGATTATTTTGCCCGTAACGCTGCCGCGAAGACAACTGCGCAACTTTCAGAAAACTTGAATTTGGGGGAACATCTGAGGAAATGCAAAAATAACTTTTCTTTCAAAGTCGTTGAATAAAAGAGGATGAATGTATTTCCAGTTCCAGTCAGTGTTTGACTTTAACATTTAATATCACTACCAAGTATTT